GCTCATGATAAAAACAAAAACTATCACGGCTGTAAGGGCAAAGTACCACAGAGTTAAAGTCGCTGAGAGAAATACCCTAACTAAGGGGGCGGATAGGATGAATGAATGGAAGATTGCTTAGACACACGCAATCTATTCCAGCTTTAGTCTATTAATAGGCAATCGATTCACTTCCTAAACCACTCAAACACCCAAAGAATCGAAACAGAAATTGCTCCTTTTTATGTGCATATTTTATGGCAATGAAAAAGCAAACTGAAGCAGGATTTATACATAATTTTGTAGCCTAGTTAATTTATGTTTTAGTTACCTATATATTTAAAATAATATCTACTTTATTTACTAGATTTATATTCATATATTTAGCGTACATAATTTAGCTCCTTGAAATGTTATTACTGGCTCATTTTACACTATGCCCCGATGCTGTCGAAACAGCACAAAAACTTATGGTGAGCGGGGTAGGGGCACAGAGTGGGGGGTAAAACAAAGCTGCCACCTACCAATCCCAAAACCCCCCCCGTCCACCCGCTTTAGCTCTGCGTGTGACAACAAAAACAGAGCAAATAATGTTGATGAACGAGAGCGAATGAGAGCGGCATGGCGTGGCGTGGCGCAGGGGTCGCCTGGCTCTGGCTTTTTAGCGCCTCCAATGGCAAAAACTAAAATTATGCAATGCCACGCCTCTAGTGATATGCCCACCGCCTCTGCAGAATGCAGCAGGCTTGCTGGCTTGGAGCCCGTGCCCCTGACCGTGCCAGTGCCCGTTCCCTGTGTGCATTATAGCATGCAATTTCTGTTCGCCATCTTCCCTGTGAGTGTCATTTAATGAGCGCTACGGGTCATCGTGGGAGTGGTAGTTGAACGGAGGGGTGGGGTGTGGGGTGTACGCTATACGTCGCTGCCAACAATGCAACAACGCTTTACAATTTTCATAGGCATTCCATGCATTTTGGTCAGTTTGATGTGGGTTTTCGTTTCTCGGTGTCGTTTGCCTCGCTTACACAGCAAGAGAAATAGAGAAATAGTGGGGAGAGACAGAGACACAGCCAGAGAGAGAGACTGAGACAGAGAGAGAGAGAGAGAGAGCGTAAAAAAAAATACCAGCTCATTCGCGCATAGCTCGCTATCAACGTCAACAAATACCCTCATCCCCCAGGGACTCGAACCTCGGACTCGACTATGGGTACGCAAATGGGAATGGGATTGGGATTGGGTTCCCTGTACCGTGTAGCGTGTTCCCTACTGCTTTCATTCAAGTATTTTTCGGCAAATGCAAACACCAACAGAACCCATGAGTATCCCAGTTTCAGTTCCAGTTCCACCAACGAAAACCGAGTTCCTGTCCAGCTACAGGAGAAGCAGAGATGACTGAGGGCATTGGGCGTTGGGCGTTGGGCAGATGTGGGGGTGTTGAGTTAGGGGTAGGGGTAGGGGTACGTGTATCCCAGAAAACCCCTGGTACTGGTACCCCATTGTCGTCGCTAACAATAATGAGTTCGTAATTTGATGTCGCTGCAGAAAAGCGTGTGCACTTTGGGCCGGTGTATGCCGCGGCGTGGGGTTGGTTGACTGGTCGGTCGCTTGGTCGTTCGGTTTGTTTGCAACGTCGCGTTTTCGACAAATACCCCTCCCGCACCACGCAACAACAGAAAAAAAAAACGTAGAAAGAAATAACACAACAGCGGAACGAACGTTGCCCCAATGCCAGTGCCAATGGCAATGGCAATGGCAATGCCCCAAACCTCAAGTTCACATCCATATGTGATTTATCAATGTCCGCTCGTCAGCATCCCCACTAACCCACGGTAGTGCAGGGCTGGCTACTTCACTGCTGCTCCATGCAGCTACATATTGTGTCAGGGACACATGTTTCCAGCTCCAAAATGATGTGGCAGTTCGGGCAAACAACAACAACAACAACAAAAAACTATTACAAGTGTCAATTGAATCGTTCAAATAATTAAAGATCAGCTCGCTGTGATAGATGACCATGCAAGACTGGCCCCTGGCTGCCAGGATCACTGCCCTGCGGGATGAGTCAGCTGTCACAGATTATCTGCTCATGATAGCTCATGATAGATGGATGGCTCTATGCCTTATATAGAGCGGACATTTAAGTCTCAAAGATATAAGGTTTTTTTTATTGTTGACTCGTTTTTGATGGAAAATAATAATAATAAATAATAATAATAAAATAATAATAATACTAAAATTATAAAAAACAATAATAATAATAAACAATCATAATAATAAAATAATAATAAATAATAATAATAATAAAAATAATAACTCACACAATAAGAAATATTCTGGAGTCTTTGGATGATTCTCTTTTGAGATTTTCATTCTTGAGTTTAAAATAAGAAATAAATATTTTATGAAAATCAATTTTTGCTTAAAGCAATGTAAACGCTTTAAAAAATAGACCCACAAGTTGAATCCCCATTGAAAAGAGTCCACCGCTGCCTCAATAAATACTTTAAGATTTTACGCATGCAAATTTAATTCTATTTTCTTTTTTTTTTGTTATCTTTTCTACTTGTTTGCTTTATTTGCTGTTAGTTTTTTGTTTGTTTGAGAAATGATCAAAATGTCTTGCTGAAGCAAAATTAATGATTTCTGTCATTAGATTTGATTAAAAATTCAGTCCAAAAGGCACACAGCGCGCCAACACGCTGTTGGCATGTTGTCTTTGGAGTTGACACATTCGAAGCACAGCAGCGCAGATGTCTAAGGAGAAGCCCATTTTTGTTTTTTTTTTTTTTTGGTAATTTTTCTTAATTTACGTGGCCAGTGGCACAGCTACTCAAGCGGGCGGGGCATTGTGATTGAAAAGCTAGCCCCATCTCTGCTGCTATCCTTAACCTTTGTTAACGTTCATACGCCCATCTCTAATCGAATGTACTGAGAATAGCCTCAGTTTCACAATAAATTACCTCCGATGGGACAGACAAGCGAGCACGAGGGGTCACCCAAATCAAACTCCAGTTAACTAAACACGCCTTAAATGGGTATTATCTGCTGGCCAGCACATTTAATTTCAATAAGCTCAGTTCCTGTCCCTGTCCCTTGCCCCGGGTGGTACTGGTCAACTTCTCTTCTGGCCGACTTGGGCCTGGGCCACCTGTGACCAATTTCGATTATGAGACTTGGCAACTTCTTTCTTTTCGCCTTCTATTTTTTTTTTATACAGTCTTCGTGTGTTTTGTTGTTGTTGTTGTTTTGTGCTGGTCCTCATCTTGGTTTTGGTCTTGGGTCTGAAGACAACCCCAGAGGCGTTGTAAATTTTCGTGCCTCATAAAATTCAACCACCCCCGGATCTGGGTTCCAAGGGTCTGGTGAATGGTGAATGGTTCGCCGCCGTCTATCCATGATTGCCACGGAGTTCATTTTTTTCTTGGCTCGAAGGTGGTTTCTGTGGGTGGTTCTGGGCCGGGCTGGCTAATCAGCTTCCGCATTTTTATAGCAGCAGGACGGACGTGCAACGGAAATCGCAAGTAGCTTAGCCTAATATGCTTTGTGTTTTGCTCTTTATTTATTTATGCCACTTTCGCTTTGTTGTCAGCTCTCCAGCTCTCCGGCTCTCCGGCTCTCCACTCTCCATCCGTCCGGTTTCTTTTATCGTATTCCTTCTGTTTTTTTTTTCTCTCGATTATTTTTCCGTGTAAGCGTATGTGGGGGGGAGGGCTGGGCCCTACCCTCTAATGTTTTTGGTTGGCGGCCGGCGATTGTTGTTGTATTGGGTCATTTGTTTTACTTGGCCTCAAATAAATCCAAATAAATAATTCATTTGGCGCTGAGTTTGCTCTCAAGATTTTTCCGTATTGATTGGATGGAGCTGCTGGAGGCTTGAAGTTGGCACTGCCGAACCGGTGGGCGGGGGCCGTTGCTTGTTGACTAATCAAATGCCCGTCCGTGGGATTATCTTAAATGCCTACAATATAGTACGCAACTAGCTTTGCAGAGGGACTGCAGATCACATCTGATGTCGAATGGCACACAGACGAAAATACGTATACGCACCCTTGGAGAGACCTTGGAGATCCTGCACACAGCCGAATGTTTCCTGCACTTGCTGCACACACACACATAAAGCCAACGAGTTGCAGTCAACAAAAGAGTCTGTGAATTATGAGAGCAATGTCCAGAAAGTATCAGCTACGTATCAGTACGTCTTGCATTATATTCCTAAATTTGTCTTTTAACATATCAATATTTAGAAAAAATATTTTTGTAAGCTAAATATTAGTCCTAAAACTGATGAGCTTTGCTCAAATACATTAAAATACATTTAGGTCACAAAAAATACATGATATGTCGTATAATAAAATAATCCAAGTTCTTTGATTTATATATAAATATAGATACAAATTTATGTATCTATGTATATTCATGTATTTTTGATATGAAATTGATATGAAACTATTCAATTTAATTCCTAAAATGTAGGATCCATGTAGATTTACGCAGAGATAACTGATTAGATTTATATAGAATTATCACACTTAAAGGAAAATTAAATGAATACTTCTTTATCAGTCTTTAAATTTCGATGCATTTTCACATTTGCCAGCATTTGTAATGCATCGGTTATACCCACTCGAAACTAATTTAATTATTTTGGACCCATACGATACGTGAATAAATACAGGCAGATATTTAAATGGACAGCAAATTGAGGTACATGTGTGACTAGATCAGGCATACTGCCAAGGGCTATCACAGTTTTTGGCCAGGCAATGATTTTGCCAATTAATATTTGAGTATTTTGTACATATAGCCATTAAATATAATGATCAAGATATCTAATGAACATAATAATAGTCGTATGTTCCATATGTTTGTGTGCTCTACTCAAATAAATTTCTTTCTGACTGAATTAAACTTTGCAATCTTACCAGAAAGGAATATAGAAATGCCATTGCTCAAAGGTCTGCCATTCTTTTGGACTTGTAAAGGTAAATACTTAGTTGTATACTTACATACAGGCAAAATAAATATAAATTATAGACCTTTGCAGAATCCACGCATTGCGTATTTTAATGGATAGCTTTGAACATTTATCATCAGGCTGTGGTTGGCTGCATGCCAGAGGGGCAATTTCGGAAGGGAATCGTTACAGCTTTTACAATTACATTTCTTTGTTCTTTTGTTGAATCGATTCTGTGTCCTTTTTGGGTGAAGTATTAATACTATTTTGAGCTGCGATCAATAGGATCGACATATAAATATTATTTGTTGTTAAAAGCTGATCAAATTTCGTCTCTCTTCAATCGAATTTGTACGAAACATGAATACAATTTTGACCTGTGATCAGCAGCAGCAGAAGCAGCAGCAGTTATATCTAAGCTATAAAACTATCCGAATAAAATGCAATTAAAGTTTATCCCAAGTTCTCCTTGTTTGAGCGGACAAAGTATCCATCCCCTGTGCCTCCATTGGTCACCGACAGCTGGCTGTGGTCATCACCGACGTGGGTGTCCTCTTCGGCTAAGGGAAACAAGAAACAAAACAAAGGATGAGTAATAGCAATAATGGGGAGTATGGCAGAGACAATCTCAATCAGATTAACAATCCCAGGCAGGTGTAGTTCTGGTAATTCAGAAGCTACTTGGCCAGGTGCACCTCTCCAGTGCCTTCATGGCTGAAACTATCTACTGGGCTTGTACTTTACACTCTGCTCCAGACACTCACCCAAGAAATATTCGCAGCGGCGAAAATCAGGGTTATGGTCGAGCATTGGCAGTGGGGTGTTGTAGCCGTGGGGTGCAGGTGCAGGTGCAGGTGCAAGGGCACCGGGCAACACATTCTCACCCATCAGTCTGCGGGCTCGTTCGGACAGAGACTCTCTCCCTGCGGTGGGTGTCACCTGCCGCTGCCCCTGCCGCTGCCCCTCTGGAGCTGTGGGCAAACGGCCACCGAACGAACGTCTTGGCTGCGCGTGTGCGGCACGTATTGGCACCACTGGAGGTGCCACCTGGCGTCGTGGTTGTGGCACTGACCCACCATTCTCACTGCCAATTGTCGGACGCACTGTAACGGGAATGGGAATGGGAGCGGATGAAGAAGCCACGATCCAAGCCACGATTATTCCACTTACCATTCGGTCCGAAGGGAACCAGGGCTCCGCTGGTTCCCAGGCAGCCATTGGACGGATAATTTGGCTTTGCCACTTGCCCCATGCTCGGAGTCGCAAGTGTGCGACGCACGGCGCAGCAAGGGGCTGGGAAGAGGCGGCCGGACTGCTGTGGAATCCGGTGGCCCAGTGCCTGCAAGCAGTGACGGCACATCTGCTGCATGCTGCCCTGTGGCTGCAGCCGAGCTTGTGGTGGCTGCATGGGTGCCTGTGGCTGTGCCTGTGGCTGTTCCCGTGCCTGTGCCTGTGCCTGGTTCTCAATGGGCATGCGCCACTCGTCCGACAAGCGCCAACGGTCCGACATGCGCCGTTGCCGCTGCCGTTGCATGTGCGCAAGCGTTGCGTTGGCTTCGTTGTTTATGGTCTGGAAAATGTCCAGCAAATCGAGCACCGGTATAATGTTCTGGTTGGAGTCCAGCAGTGGTGGCATCATCTGGCTATTGAATGAAGCGCGCGCAGCCGGGCCACTTTGTGCTGCCTGTGGCAGTGCGTATATGGGAGCCAGCAGCGGGTCACGTTCTGCTCCAGCCGCTTGATGTGGATTGGCTGCCCCGTTTGCTTGCTCCCCCTGCAATGGGAGCAAACGGCAGCAGTGACGGGCCAAGAAACTCAACATCTTGGACATCGTCCGGCACGTGAACGGGGCCGCCGAAAAGAATTTCCCTCAAGTCAGTTGCCGGCGATTGTATGGCTCCTGGCAATGGTGGCTGTGCCCCGTTGCGGTTCTGCATCGGCTCCTGGCTCGGTGCGGCGCTGTTGATCCACACAGATGAGCCACGAACCTCCTGCTGCCGTTCAGCTGCTGTGGCAGAGCCAGAGGCAGAGGCAGGCGGCACTGCAGGGCAACCTCTGAGCACGTCAGCGAATGTGGGCTGCGGTGGTAGGTCCGACATTGTTGCGTAGATCGTTGAATGTCACTTCACTTCGTCACACGGAATAGCTCACAAAGAATTTATACGCAGATATATTCTGAATCACAGATAAAATGATTTTACTTTGCCAGAAAACGAGGCGTCATGTCAGAGTTGCAGGCGAAGAGTTATCGATAGGCCTACGATATCGTTTTGGCTGAAATGCTAAGATGACGACGAAATTAAGCTTATTTTGAAAATAAAAGGCGCGGCACTCAAACATCATCTGTTGTCATCAGGCATCGGCATATACGAGATATCCGAAATATATTGAGATATGTACACAATTTGCAGAAATTGTAGCAGTATAAAATTCATAAGCTGCCAATCAGCTGTTCGTGGCATATCAGTGCTGGAAAGCGACGATATATGTTTGTATAGAATTTGCGCTTTGTGTGTTTATACATTTAAAATGATATGAGCAATAGGAAATGGTTCCCATTTAATGGAATATTAATACGAAATTAAACAATGGACTGCTTAAGTCAGCAGCTACTTATCGGCACTATTAGACTTTGCTTTTCCCTTATAAAACAGTGTTGGAAACTGACTTAAGTGCCAATTAGCTAAGAGGAAAAATACACAATGAATTGACATTATTGCGCTTTATTGTAAACTCGCAACAGAAGAATAGGAAAACATTTGAAACCTATGAAAAATCCGTTAATGATAATAAATCAGTTTCTTAACGTATTGCTGTGGCACCCGTACGGTGCCCAGGGAACGGATTAGGTGAGTGCAAGTCATTGCCTTGCACTGATGCATCACCACATCGGTGGTGCCTCTCACCAGATATCCGTGCAGAAAACGGCGCATGCCATTCGATGTTGGCGGCAGTTCGACCTTTACAAAAATAAGACGCTTAGCAAGCACGCCCTCCATGGGAGCACCTTCTTCGATTGGAAGCAGATTAAAAATGGGCTCCATCAAGTAGCCATTATTATCGCAAATGGGCTCCCAGAATGTGCCAATGTTTTTGAAGGGCGCTGAGTCCGAATTAATATCTGATTCGGGTAAATTAAATGCACCAATTAATTGACGAACCATTGCTAGCGATCCACTCTTACCTCTCTTCTGCATTGCGAATGGCACAAGAATTTATCCTTAGGCTGCTGGTATTTTCTGCTGTGTATTTCAGCTGCGAGGCAAATTTTGTTCTGTTTTCTTTGCAGCTTGCGTGCTGTCACGACGTGTTGTCAGTCGGTGTTTTCCAACACTACTATGTAGAGGAAAATAAAACAGAATGGCGGACGACGCGGTCAAGACGACGGCATTGGCATGGCCACACCTGATCTTAGCGAGGGGCCAAAGAAGTTCTTGTTCTTCCGAATTATACGGCCATGCATCCGTATGCATCCATACGGCATTGGCGGCGACGGAGAGGCCATCGCGTGAATGCTATGCGAAATGGTGAGGCGTTCGTTGGCTCGCGGTGAGTATTTCGATTAAATTGGGGCACATTTGTGGCAATTATGTCGGTGGATTTCTTCAACCTTCAGGCAAGCAGCCGCAAGCAAGCAACCTACATGCAGCCGTATACCTAGAGTTTCCTTCAGTGCAGAAGGCCAACAAAGAGACCCAGCCATATGCCAGACAATTGCAAAAAACCTATTAAAAAATTGCAAGCTGAAAATTAAAAAATAAAAATATAACAACTACACACACACTCACACACAGACACACATAAAAAAGAAATTTGCCAAGGCTGCTGGCCTGTATTCATGGAGACCTATGGGGGCCCTTATGGAGCATATTCCGGTTGGTTATTGGTCCGACTTGGAGCACACAGACCAGAGACAGACAAGGCCAAAGCCAGGCGACTCTCGTAGAGCACTTAAAGCCCCGCGTAATCTTTGACAGTAAAACAAACGCAACGAGAGGAAGCGAAAGGAAGCGAGAGGAAACAATGTAGAGGGCAGCAAGCGAGTAGCTGCCGCGTGAAGGAGACTGAAACGAGAAATTGAATGCAAGACACGTTGCAGGATTTATGGCCAAGGAGCAGCCGCCAAACGCAGACTAATAAACAGGGCCCAAAAGGAGAGTGGGGTAGAAATTAAAAATCAGAGAATGGGGGGCATGAGGCATGGTCTGCTGTGGCAAGTTCTTGGCCCCAAAAGGTTCGTGTGCGCCGAAAATTGTTGTGAAAATTATAGATAAAATATATACGTGAGTCAATGCGGCTGTGTGGGACTGGGACTGGGGACTAGGAGCTGGGGTTTGGGGCTGGCAACCCTTTCCTTTTGGCCTTGGATTCAGTCGTGCGGCAGGCGAGTGAGAGTCAAATGAAACGAAAGACGAATGAAATGAAATAAAATCCCTTACCGTAAGAATTTCATGCACGTCAACACGTCCTGGCAGCGACAATGCCGTTGACAGGCATCTCAGGCATACCCCAACCCTGTCCGACCCCGACTCCGCCCCAGCCCACTTTCCACTCTCCAGTGCAGGTCTGAGGGCTGCGTAACAATTTCTAATTCATATGTTCTGAGGCTGCCCGAGAGCAGAGGCCCGATCCAGGGCCAGGGCCAGGGCCAGTCTCGATGATTTATGATGTACGCACGCGAATCCCAAAATGAAAGGCGATAGAGGACAAGTCCTGTTCACAATCGTGGTTAGGGTTTAGGCCATGGGCTGTGCTCGTGACACGATGCCTGCAGCGAATTTCGCAGCATGGAGTTTGATTCGTGATTTTCTTTAGATTTTGATTAAGTTCAAACAGGATAGAGAATATCTATAATAGATAATATATTGCATGGTTATACTTTTTAAATTGGTTCACAGACTTTTAGTAAATTCTGCTATTTTATTTTAATTTGTTTCTTAATTAGATTTAAATTTTGGAATTTTCAGTCTGCATTAAAAGTAGAGCGCTCTTTCAGGTCTGTCTATGTTAATATGTCGGGCATAAATCCCTGCAGCGTAAGATGGGAAATATTAAATTTACATCAAGTAACAGAAACTTCCTTCGGTCATAATCCAAAGAGTTCCAGATTTAAGTCGAACCAACATGTCCTGGCTGCCAGAGATATAATTTGAGATCCCCAAGTCAATCAGTTCTCTAGCCCAACTTCCCCAAGATACGTGACACGATGATTGCACTACCCCAGTGGCCAGTTGGACCATCTCTATAGGCCATCGCTTGCCCATCGGTTGCCAGTGTCGCTGCCATCACCGCCTTCGTTGCGGGCCTTTAATCATTCAATAGGCAATTTGTTTGTACTCCTGGCAACGAAATGAAATGTTTCACACATTAGTCCGGTCAACTACTGAACCGGCTGGGGGGACAGGCGTCTCTCCAGCTACTATATTTAATATCATTTATCTTTCTTACGCTCCAATGTGCGGTTTGTCTGTGCCTTTGTGCGTATGCGTGTGCGTGCCACATCGAAGCGCAGGGTTGGGCAGGGTTGGGCAGGGGAGCTCTGCTGAGATGAATGCCTGGGCGGTGTTGTTGTGATTTATGATTATCAAAGTATTTGTTACCTTTATGTCCAAATTATTTGCTCGCACATAAATCATTTTAGCCTGCAGGCGACTCTGTCAGGCCACTTCGTCCACCTTCGGGGAGCCCTTGCCGCTTTGATTAATTTTCTTCAATTGCCTGCCGCGATTGGCGCCTCGATTTGGGCTTGGATTTGGGATTTTGGATGGCAGAACGATTTGTTTGATATGCCAGACAGCCACTTGGCACATAATTCACACAATTGGTCAACAAGTCAAAGCCACCCAACTATGCCCGAGAGCCAGCCCACTTGTCTCGGCTGGGGTCTGTGCAATCTTCAGAGTAAACGCAATGAATTATGTATTTATTTTTCTCAGTTTTACAGCACATAGCAGAATACGGGCAGTGGGAAATGTGAAATGTGGAAGCCCAAAATAAGACAGAAGACAGAAAAGTTCGAACCTGACTTCCATATATTTTATTCTTAATTATGCACTAATATCTCTCCTAGTTATACAGGCCCATTCCTCAGTTTCGATGCTAGTCAGCTGCATGCTAATTTCTTCACTAACCCAGATCCTTGCTATCGGATCAGTTTATATCTAGAATATATGTATATTTTTATTCTATATTCTATCTCGCCTCATTTATAAGTCCCTCTCGAACTCTGGCTTAGCTGCTTTTTGGGGCTTGCCGATGTCCTGTACTGAATAACTCTCAACTGGTTCAAGCCCTCGATACGTAAGGCTAAAACTTTTGAGATTTTTGGGGGCCAGTTTGTGTGTTGAACTGTTTGCTTGAGTTTTGATTTTGTGTTCGCTTTAATTTTTGGAAAGGACTGTCTGTAAATTAGATTACTGCCAGGAAAATTCTTCAAACCAGCAAATACTAGTTTTAAAACCATACCAAAATATGGCACGTCTTTGAGCCTGAAAGATCACAAATATATAGCAAAAGAAGTCCTGCCATATTCCGTCTTAAATGCTATCTGCTGTGACAATTTTATCAGCTTATTTGTATTATATTTTGTCAGCCAACAAGCTGCGCTCGTATTTCTTTTCACACAAGCACACAAATTGAAGTTCATTTCGCTCTTCAGTGCCCCTCAAATTGAATGTCCCCCCCCCAGCCCCATTGAGGAGGATCAACCAATATTCGTTTTCACTTAGTTTTCTTTCCACATGGCCAGACTCTTCATCTTCGATGGCTCGTCCGCCGCCGCTTTAAGTCGCAGTTTTCACAATTTTCTGCAGCGTAAATTCAATTGAATATATGTATATATGTATGTTGTAGTTGTTGCGCTGTTGTTGTTGTTTTTGTCGTTTTTGCTTTAAATCGATGCCCGAGGCAATGGCCACAATCCCACTTCCACTTCCGCACGAGCAGCGGCGGCAGCAGAAAATAAAAAATACAACAAGCAGGGCCGGGGTCACCCATATACTCCGCACTCGTGTACACCCGAAAAAAAAAGGGTTAAAACAATAGAAAATGTTGCCAGCGATGGGAGATGGAATCGGTTCGAGGGGGTCGGGCGCTGGATGGAAAACAATTCTTTATATGTTGTATGGTATAATGCTGTGAACGCTTTTAACGGCCCGTTCAGCTGCTGTTCAGCCTGCCTTCCCTGCCCTTGCCTTGCCCATGCCCACTCCTCCTCCACTTATTCTGCACGCCAAATCATTATTACAAAAACAATATGAGGGGAAAGAGGAAAGAGAGAGACTTGCTGCCGACTTCCGTGCTTATTCCTTGGCCGGCTCAACTCCTTTTCAGCAGCCGTGCTGTGGGCCTCCGTCTGTGCGCCCCATTTGCTCGACATTTTTCAACCCAAGCACGAACCCAAACCCCGAGCAACCCGAGGGCTGAATATGGCTGCCCCGGACATCGAATCCTTTCGTTCATAAATCAAGTCTTTGGTTTAATTAAATCTTGTGTTGGCGGTAAAAACTCGAGCAGAACAAAATACCAAAAAACAACAGCAACAACAGCAACAGCAAGGCGCAAAAAAAATAATAAATGCTGAAACGAGCAGCCAGACAGGGAGCAGCAGATGATGAAGGAGCAACAGCATCAGCAGTAGCAGCAGTAGCAGCAGTCAGGAGCCCGCCCAGCAGCTGGAGCTGGAGCTGAAGCTGAAGCTGGAGTCAGCGCCTCTGGGCCTGGTCCGCGGCCTGGGCCTGGGCCTGAGCAAGAATAGGAGAAGGAAGCAGCCAAATATTTGCATAGCAGGCAGTAGTCTAAGCCGGGATATGGCATCCACAAAAGGATTGCAGATGAGCATGAGTATTGGTGTGTTGTGGGATTGGGGAGTGTTGGGGTGTTGGGCATGGCATTGTCGACTCGTCACGTTTTAAATGTCGCCAACGCCGTTGCCGCTGCCGCTGCCGTTGTCGTTGTTGTCGACGCGGTTGTCCTTTTCATATTTTCTTTTTGCAAACTCATTTCCTTTTGTCGGTTTTCGTAGCGACCAAAAAGCCCTTTGACTTGTTGTTTTGGCCTCCATCTAAAGAGGGCTGTTTACAGTCCTTTTAGCCCTGCTGTAGGTTCTTGGCCTGCACAGGCAGACACAGTGACACTTGGCAACGAATCAATACGAGTGGAACGAACTCTCCCAAGATATTTACCCAACCAATAAATTAAAAAAGACACGCGACATTCGACTGAAGAATATTGTACTCAAAATGGGGGAGCATCGTTCCAGAAACCAAAACTCTGTTCCAAATAGAGGCTAAAAATGTACCAGAAAACTATCGTATTTAATTGGATCTATACTTTTAGA